TGAGGATGGTCTGCGTGTCCACCTGCACCCACGCCACCTGTCGACACACGTGCACGATGAAAATTAGACACACATGCAACATCCGGGTATCTTTAATGTAAACGTTTCGCCATCCAGTGGCTTTATCAATACAAATTCTAGGGCCTAATTTGAAGACAGTAGAACTGTGTACAAAAGATGAGGTAATCAGTCCCAGCCTTGGAGTTGGAGTAAAGAGCAACGTAGTCATGAAGAATCTGGAGCATAAGCAAGAAGGCTGACGCTTATATACTGGCGTAAGATGAAAAGGGAACGGGTAGCAAACGAAGACATTGTCACTGGTAGGAGGGATTCCTCAGTGGAAGTAGATCATACCCAAGGGACGGATTAGTAGAAGTGAAGAAGGTTGTGGAGATGTCCTCTGAACCAAGACTCCATGATGTTACAGTGTCTGACAAGTTGTAAATAAGTAGCATATAATACTGACAAGATGAAAATTAGATAAATTTAGGATAATTGCGCAAATTTCTGGTAATTTATTTCACTAATAAGAGAGCATAACATTCTTGTAAACAAAATGTTAAGTAAGAATTCTCCTGCACCACCACCTGTTTTTTCCTAACTCCACCTGAGAAGTGAATAAGAGGTGTTTTTCACTGACCTCAGCTGAGGTTTAGCAGGTGTTTTAGCTGACCTCGGCTAAGGGTTAATAGTTATTTACAGGTGTACAAAACCAACGTTATTAAATGTTGTACTTAGTATTCATATACATTCCTAACAATGTATTATTTTAAGTTCATATACACTGTCTGATGATGTACTTTGTCTTCATGTCTGTGAATATTAATTAGGACTCAGTTTGTAAAGTTCACTTTTACCAAGAATTAAACTGTCCCATGATAAACTGACTACACGAAACTTTCTACTAATTACCCATCCATTACCACCATGTTTCACCCATCCTTTACTACCAGGAGGGAACTGAACCTGTCTTGCCTCTCCTTGGACTCAGCCTCAATACTTCTCATTCTCCGAGCGCTCTGTGACCTTCTATAAATTTAGTGTTTCACAACAACAAAATAATAATAATAATAATAATAATAATAATAATAATAATAATAATAATAATAAATAATTATAATTATTATTAATTATTATTAGTATTTTGTTATTATTATGTAATTATTATTAGTGTTAGGTGTAAGAACACAAGTGCAACTTATGTGGCATTTTATTGTGGCAATGTTTCGTTCTCTAGGAGCTTTGTGAAGCTCCTGGAGAGCGAAACGTTGCCACAACAAAATGTCACATTAGTTGCACTTGTGTCCTTTTACCTAACACATTGTCGGTAATTCTACCAACGTTAATACAATTATAATTATTATTATTATAATTATTATAACGCAGTTATTACTATTATGTTATTAGAATTATTATTACTGTTGCTGTTGGTAGTAGTAATAGCAAAAACGTAAATACTAGTAATAAAAATAACAGAAGCACAGCAAGTGAAGTCATCTCCAGGTCGCTGTTGCACAATCATACAGCAGGAGTCTCAGAAGCCGAGGAAGTGTCCACTATATACACTACTTCAACTTCCTCATATAAATCGATACCTCAGTTTCCTCCTTCATATAAATATTGGCAGTTCTCCTCAGCTAGCTATCTTTAAAATCTTATTTTGATTATAACATAAAATATTTTTTCATCACGTGGTAAACATCCTTAAAAATTTCACTCAGCATTTGATACGTCGTTACGTTTTAATTAAAAATATTGAATTATGATATACTCAGCCAAAAAAGATAGGTGACAACAAATGGATTTTTAATACTGTTTTAGTTGGTGACGGACTTTTAATTCTAGGAAATGGAATGACCATTCATTTTCTTGATTCAAATATGATTACCACACATATTCCCTGAAGCTGTATAACCGTATAACCTCTCAATTTTAATTTGTATATTATATTTACGTATCTAGAAGGATCAGTTTGTAATTCTTATTTTCTGAAGATCATTAGCTCTTTTTTTTCAGTTATCTGACGTAACTTCACTGTTTTTAAACCTTATCATTTATTTCCACTTTTTATTATTTACTCTGACATTTCTAATTCTGTTCTCTAACGGTGAGGTCATCATTTCGTAGAATGTCACTGTTTATCGGCACTGACTTCGGACCGTTACTTTCAACCCAGCTATGGTGTTCTAATTTGTTTTGATAACCAAGCCATTCAGCTACTAGGTGACCTAACCCACCGGCTGTGATACTGCATAGGAAGTTCTCGGTCTAATATCCAGTATGAAGGTCACCACACAGCACTGCTCATCCAGTCGTCCTTCACTGCCACAGTGACAAAGACCAACATCTGAGCCAGTTCAGTACATGTTTAGTTGGCAGACATTTATGCCGCTACACCATGTTTCCATCACAGCTTTATATTATGCTTCGTGGCACTCACTCCTTCATGTAAGGTCTCATGGCAACCCCTCTTTCATACAGTGCCTCATGGTACTCCCTCATATCATGCATCATGATACCCTCTCCCACATAACAAGCACCATGGCATTATCACCCTCATACCATGCTGACACGGTTCACCAAATAAAGCCTCATGGTACTTTCTCATATCATACCCGTGGCACTCCCTCGTCACTTGTTCAAATCACGCCTCACGACATTACCGTCTTCAAACCATGTTTCATGGCACTGCCTAATATTATATCTCATGGCACACACTGCGTTATACTCTACCTCAAAACACTGTCATTCTGATATCACACCTCGTGACACTTCTTCACATTATCATGACACTACCTCTGTTTGTAACTCATGGCATTCTCTTGCCTTACTTGGCACTTTCTGCTGGTTAAACTAGTATTAAGAATACTTATTATGAGATACAACTCGTTAACATTTCCTCATATATTAAACAAGTCGACGTGATATCATCACAGGAATGAAAACTCACATCCAATTTGGGTTTCCACACACTTCTGAGATGTGTAAACTGTGGTTAGATCGGTTGTGTTCCGAAGCGGAATGGAGGTCTTTAGTCCCTGACCGAGTCTGTTACTCCCAGTAACCACTCTTTACATACCTTGGATCGTTGTCGTATGCAGTCTCTCCTCAACACTTTTCACATCGCTTCTTCAACAAAAGAGTATATTGAAATATCGTCTCTCTACTCCGAACACAAAAGAACATGAGAAAGAAGCAGCACTGATGATGGCCTTCTGGCAGGTCCAAGGCACACCCACTCATGTGCTTGTCTAACCTGTTTTTAAAACTACACATACTGACGATTTCAGTTTTGCTCTTTGTCCTCCGATCAACTGTATGACACCATGACGCATGGTGACCCGAAGAATGCCATGACATTCTCCAGGTCACCATGAGTCACTTACACCTCACTCACCGCCTGTATATACTGTCTTTTTAAATTCTGTATGGTAGAAGTGATCAAGGTCCCAGGATCGAAACATTTTCTTAACTAACTTGTCGGTATCTATTACCAAGGTTTACACATAAATATGTAAACAAAAATCTCTAGTAGCCTGCATTAGTATTCGCGCCTCAACATAGGGCCAATGAATATGGCAAAAGCTGATGCGATAACTCAATTCTTTGTCAAAAATAAAATGATTCACCAAGGTTTGTAGGTAGGTAGACTGCACCTACATACTGCCGCTCCGTACTGGTAGTAATACAGATGTGTGTTTATTGACTTCGTTACTAATAAGTTACTGCTTGTTCTGGGTGTTCTGGTCACAGTCATGTTCCTCTGTGATAAATATAGAGAGCGGAAGTGGACGGAGGAGAGCGAAGGTGGGCGGGTGTCCTGCTCTTAATATCCGGTGCATTGTGAAGTTTCCTACACGATGACGGGTCACCCCACCACCACCACCATCATCACCACCACCACCGCCACCACCACCACTATTGCCACCACCACCACCACCACCACCACTACCACCAACAGCACCAACACCAACACCACCACCACTACTGCCACCAGCATAACTACCACCAAAAACAACACCACCACTACTATCATCAACAGTACTACAACCACTGCCACCACTACTACCACCATTATCACCACCACTACCACCACCACTAGCACTACTACTACTTCTACCATCACCACCACACCGCCACCACTACCACCACCACCCTTACTACTACCACCTCTACCACAACCACCACCACCACCACCCCTACTACCACCACCACTAATACCACCACTACCAACACCACCGGAGCTGTCGGTCCTGCCTCCCTCTCTTAAACTTTTGCTCGTGGAGACAACATCCTCTCCGTTAATGATTAAGACATGTGCAACAGTTAGGTATCTTTATTGTTGAAAAGTTTAGCTTACACAATAGGCTTCTTCAGTCAAATGCAGAGGTAGCAAGTGTAGTAATGAAATGAAAATGATATAATCAGTCCATCAACCTCTGTATTTAACTGAAGAAACCTACTGTGTAGATGAAAAGTTTCAACAATGAAGATACCTAACTGTTGCACATGTCTTAATCATCAACTTGTCCAGATTTTATACCATTATCAACAGCCTCTCTGTTGCTCTGTCTGGGAGAATGCTGTTCTCCTCAGTTCGTGTCATTTAGACTGTTTTGGTAGAGTATGTTTCCGCTGGTGAGATGGGACATACATCTCGTAACTCCGTGCAACTCTGTTCACAGAGCATTATTTATACTTAGTCACATTTGACGTTTTCAGAGGTTGTGTCGTGGAGATATTCTCTGTAACTCTCGCCCCACGTTCAACTCTTGACCTACATCTCATCTGGCATCTACGCACTGTCGTAGTCGGGAAATTGGAATTGCTAACTCAGTTTCAGTAATAAGGGAATTTTATGCCTTTTGTGTAGTATCTGTTGAAAATCACAGTTCGAATCGTTTTTAGTCTGATTCCTTGTCTGACGCTGTGCTGTTCTCCGCTGCTTCGAAGTTGTTTGACTGCCTTGATGGTTGAGACGTTAGACTATTTAAGAACTTGTTGGTGAGAAGCCATCTAAGTTTACAGGATAACTGG